CAACGAAGCCCGTTTGCTTCATCATAAATATATCCATACATACAAACTTATGTACATATGTACGAATGGATGTAGTTACGCGAAGCATGCTTGCATCATTTATATATATATTGCTTGGTAGCGGCAGAGCTGAAATGCGCAATGAGTTCGTACATACATACATATATACATATGTAGGTACTCGTACCCGTCATGCGTCGCTTTATTTCTTTTTTCCCCTTCCCTATACTACCTATATCATCCTTCTCACTCATGTAACGTTTTCAGTTTTAAAAATTTCACTCTCCATTTTTGCCATACCGCCGCCTAAGAAGTTTCACTTCAAAAAGCGTTTTACCAGGCTAAAAGCACCAATTTTTTTATACCCGAGCGCACTTGTGCACAAGGGTATATTAATTTTGTTCACATAACGGTTGTTTGTAACAGCCAAAACGAATCGAGATAGATATAGACAAATGTATACATAAATGATCAGGATGAAAAAAGAAATCGATTAAGCCATGTCTGTCTGTCCGTCCGTCTGTCCGTCTGTCCGTCTGTCCGTCTGTCCGTCTTTCCGTCTGTCCGTGTACACGATAACTCGAGCAAAAATTGAGATATCTCAACGAAATTTGGTATGTAGGTTTCCCTTAATCCAAGGTAGGTTGGTATTGAAAATGGGCGAAATCGGACTTTAACCACGCCCACTTCCCATATAACGGTAATTTCCAGAAATACGAAAACTGCGATATTTTAGTAACTACTGAAGATAATTCACTCAAAATTGATATTTACAATAATTTTTAGACGAAAAATAAGAATATTATAAATTTTTGGAAAATGGGCGTAGCCACGCCCACTTATGGTTACATGTGTATATCTTGGTAACCGCTGCCCCAATTTCTTCCAAACTTGGCACAGTTGTTGGCCTTCGCATAACATACCAAATGGCCGAAAATTTTTAAAATCGCTCAATAACCACGCCTATTTCCCATATAACGGTAATTTTCAGAAATATGAAAACTGCAATATTTTAGTAACTACTGGAGATTATTCACTCAAAATTGATATTTATAATAAGTTTTAGACGAAAAATAAGAATATTATAAATTCTTGGAAAATGGGCGTAGCCACGCCCACTTATGGTTACATGTGTATATCTTGGTAACCGCTACACCAATTTCTTCCAAACTTGGCACAGTTGTTGGCCTTGGTACAGCATAAAAAACCGCCGAAACTTTTTAAAATCGGACAATAACCACGCCCACATCCCATATAACGGTAATTTAGAGAAATACAAAATCTTCGATAAATCATTAAATATTGAAGCTCATTTTTTCAAAATTGATGGTTGCAACAATTCTTTACCAAGAAATGCGTTTATGGTAAAATTTTGGAAAATGGGAGTGGCACCGCCCACTTATGATCACATATAAGTATACCGATAACCGTTCTACCAATTTGTACCAAACTCGGTATGGTTATTGTACTTGCCACGTGTAAGCAAAACGTTGAAAATTATTGAAATCGGACTAATATAACGGCCGATTCTCATATAACGGTAAATTTAAGAATTGCTTGAAACTTCAATATTTCGAAATTGAAGGACGCTAATTTACTCAAAATTGTTACAACTCGGCTTACCATCTAGCGGAAGGTTTTGGAAGGGTGAAAAAACATATATTTAATACTTGCGCCGGGTATTTAATGTTCGGCTCCGCCCGAACTTAGCCTTTCTTACTTGTTAAACTATAATTTTATTTAGTTTGAAGTAGTGATGTTCCGATACTAGTACTTAGAAGTATATACTCGAGTACCTCTACCAAGTACCGGGTATTTTTTGTACTTCGATACGCGTGTACAAGTACTTCATGGGTATCGAGTACAAACTGCAAGTATTTACTTGCACAATATATACAGGAATAAACCTTTTCGCAGTTTTTCACCATATGGTCCCCGAGGAGTACTTTTGGGTTGTGTGCAGCGTGTCCGTTTTGCGCGCACGGCAACACTTACTGTGGGGAATTTCGCCTCACTATTAGAAAAAGTACATTTCGGGGATAAAATATACATAATTATGTGTTATTTATGAACAAAATGTAGGTTAAGTATAATGTTCATATTTAATGTATGCTGATATTCATGCGTAATGAAGAATAATATCAATAGTTAAGTACATAAATAACACTTGTGTTATATAAACTGGAAAACTCAAATCGTAATTATAGCATTCAATGGAGTTTTCTTAAATGTAAGTTTAAAACAAAAAAAGTCCATTGTGAAATTAAATTTTTTATGAAAACCGTAAATTTTGTGAATTTATCAAGCCAAATTCTAAATTTCCGAATATATTTAAGTCTATTTCAAAAAAAAAAACAAGGTTTGTATAGCTATACAGATCCCAATGCCTGCCAGCACATCCGCCCCGACAGTCCATTAAGCATACCCAAGTTTGAGTGATATACAAGTTACAAGCGTTTTCAGCATTTAACAGTTCATTATCATGTGCGGTGTAATATAACAAATTATACACTGAACTATGATAATATATACTAGTATCTATAATAATAGACAAAAATTTGCAATGTTTTTATACTTCTGCAATAGTTTCGGGCACTATTACACAGTCATGACTTGTGCCACTCTGCCATAGTACGGTTGTTGCTCCCTTTCATACCAGAATAATTTTGTATACAACTCTGAATCAACAAAATTCATGATCCTTCTCATTATCAACCCTGATCAGATTTTATCCCCGAGGAGTACTCAAAAAGGTTTATTACTGTATACACTGTGTTTACTTGTTTGCTAAATTTGGGAGAATCAACTGAAAATAGATCTGTGTTGTAGTTTTTGAAAAAACCGATTCAAGATGTGAACCACTAAATTTCGCTAGGGTTAAAACTAACGAGAGTGGACAACAAAAATCGTATGGAAATAGAGTAGGATCTGGAGGCAGCGTATGATTTGCAGAGGCGTCGTCTAGAGATTGTTTTGAAATCGAAGAATCAAACACAAGTAAACAATGAGCTTTATCATCACTTAAAATCTCCTATTTCAGCACTTCCAAGTAACCCCATTTCAAAATAGAAGGATATGAAACGGCATTTTCAGCTCTTCATAAGCCTTTCTCCACTGTATGTCGTTATATTGTAAATGCGCATTGAATTAAAATTTCTTGTTTGAGTACTTTCGAGTACAAGTAGAATCGAGTATTCTCTTCGATACTTTTAATGAGTACGGGCATCAAGTACATGGTGGTATCGGACGAACACTAGTTTGAAGACACCAAATCTGTAAATCTAAAAAATAATCGCAGCTAAATGAATAGCAATCGTAAATATTTTAGCAACTTTCCAAAAAATGTTTCCCACTATGCGCTCAAATAAGGTTCATTAAAAAGGGAAATCAAATTTCGTTATGTTTCAGGTGTCAAGCAGTCGGAAAGAAAAGTTCTCTTTGTTCCTTTAGTTCTCGAGATCATAAGAGACTGCATTGTAGATTTAAACTACCACATGAAAACTAAATTTTTGTTTTTGCTTTCGTTTGACAAGAATTTTAGAAAAAATTATGCAATACGAAGGAAAATTTAATATATAAACAGTCAGAAAAAAAGTTATACATTTTTCTTGAATCGAGTTTATTTTCTCGAAGAGGGTTGCCACCTGTACGAAAAATTATAAGATGTAGGCTGTTCGTTGGACTAAAAAGTGAGTTGTTAAATGAATGGACTAAAATGTTTTAAGATCCACACCGTTCTTTTCATTAAAAACATAAGATGCCAAATGAAAGAACTTGGCCCTTAATGTGCAATAAGGCTTTATTCTTTGTAATAGGGTTGCCACCTGCTTTCTTCCAATGCGTAAATGTACGTACTTATTTATGTACACATTCAGTGCGTGGTGAAGCCTCACACCAACGAGGCCGGCTAGTAAATAAATAAAGATAAGTTCCAACAGTATCATTTTGAACTTCGCTGCTATTATTTTGACCGCAATTGTATCTCTTACTGTGTTTTTAATGTTTCGTCAATTATATTTCTACGTATATGAGCCATTCTTTTTTAAGTCGGACGGATTTCGTAAAAAAAATTATGTCGTCTCCGATTTTCTTAATTTTTTTTGTCATAAAGAAAAATATTATAAAAATAGTTCTTGAAAAACGCCAATTTTTTTGAACCACGTTTTCTATAGAGAATTAAACAAGGACTTCGATGGTATAATTTTAAATCCCTAATTTACTGGTCTTCACTATGCAAATCAACTTCTAAAAGTTCAACTATTAAAAGCTAAGTTAGCTTTAGGACAATCTTGACCGTCTTATATATATAAATGTTTTAGATTTAAAACGACCTTAAGATGAAGTCCCTATGATGGTCAGAACCCGAGATATAACGAGTTGACGAAGTATATGATTAGTCAGAATCGCGAAAAAATGCAAATGCAAATTATATCTCCGGAGAAAAAAAAATCCTCGAACACGTGTTAGCTTATTTCATGTATAGA